GTAGTTAGAAGAGAAACGGTTACAATGGCCTGGCCATGCAAGGAAGCATTTAACACTTTGCAGACCGGTGGCATATTTTTATGCCCAGCGCTTTTAAACGTGGCGGACCGGTGGCTTTAGGACACCTTATGTTGAAACACACTATACCTTGCACTGGCACCAGGCAGACGCATGACTGGTGCATGATAAACCTCTTGAATGTTTGCTTCGTAGTCAGTAACATGAGCCCACTGTTTATGACGCAACTGTTTTCCTTTCTCATTCCAAAAGAAAATGCCTTTGTTCATCTTCCAGCTGCATGCACCAGGCAGGAAGTTACTAGTGCAAAATGGATTAAGGTCGGAAGAGGTTGAGGTCCAAGCGTTTTCTCAGAGAACAAGAAATATCTGACTTGTTCTCCGATGAGCTATCTGACATCCCTTGTGAGTCTGCTAGTGATAGCGACTCACAATCTGATAGTGAGTGTGGCAGGGGCAAATAAAAATTGTGGCCACAGATAGTGAAAGTGACAGTAGCTCTGACGAAAGTGCGGCGGGGAGAGCCACATGGGTAAAAGTAGACAAAACACCTGCTTTGGGACAGTTTACTGGAAATCCAGGGGTAAGCAAAGGATAAATTTTTACGGTTTACCAGTGTAAGCAGGAATGGCGTAATCACAGCGTGTCTGTGTTGTGTGTATAAAAGTTTCGCATTAAAGCAGTGAGTACTTTGTTGGGAGACCTAAGAAATAGATTATAGTCAGTAAAGTTTGTGGCCATCAAAACCCACGTGATCTTTATGAAAACTCGACCCCGTTGCTACACTTATACACTGTCCCAATTCCATAAAACCTGATCATGGGCAAAATCACGTCGTGACAAATTAACCTAGATAATCTTACATTGTGCCATTTTCAATTCATTTTCAGTTTTCAAAAATCTAAACCCTCATTCAAAATTGAAATACAAGGCATTTCTGCTGAATGTGGCAAAGGTCTGGGCTACAGACCACACGGTGGCGGTAGAACCGGCAGCAGACACAGTCTTAGTACGACCGGGGCCGTCTACTCCCACCCCACGCAGGCCTCATTTTGACCCCCCTGGGCGACTCTCGGGTGATATGCGGAAACATACCCTCATGAAAATTGTGAAGAGTGAACATGCCAAGGGGAAGCAGCCTTCTAGGCGATGCCGTGTTTGCACAGTACACAACAAAAGGAGTATGACTGTCTACATGTGCAAGTTCTGTGTAATGCCACTTCACAAAGGGGAATGTTTCCAGAAATATCACACTCTCAGGCACTTCTAGGACCATTGGTAAGTGTTCTCCAAAAATTGTAGTTCATAAAATTAATTAGGAGATTTTATATTAATTTTTAAAGTGAACAGTGCAAAAGTTAGGGTAGTAGGTTTTAAAATGTCGGTCCCCAGGGTGATTTAAATATTTAAATTGCTGGTCCACAAAGTGTTAACAAGCACACTTAGAAGGGGAATGGAATTAAATTTTAAAAGATAGAGACATATACAATAACCCAGAAAAAATGGTTCAGATAAGCACTTGAAGAATCGGTAAGAGGAAAGAAACCAAAAAGGAAATATTGTGGGATGAAAGATAAGATTAGAAAGTTTTTAACTATTGGCCCATACGAAATATAAGCAATGTTAGAAATAGGAAAACTGTACAAATGAGTTTAATATTTATACCACAACTTACTTTTTTTTTTAACGAAACTAAAATATGTTCCTTCTAGATTATTAACAGGACAGGGAAAACATCCTGATCACTGTGTAAGACAAGCAGTTCCAGCTTCAATAATAAATTATGGTTATTCTTAAATAATGTTATTCAACAAAATTATATTTTTTTTTACATTTATAATTACTGAAACCAAGAACCCTGAATCTAGAAACATTACAAAATTCCTTAAATTACACTCTTTAATGCCCACTGTCCTATAAATATTCCTTACATTTTAACCTAATAAAGAAATTGAAAGTCTTGCATCTTTAACTAAATAAAACACAGCTTATGAAACTGTATTTCTTTGTAAATAAGGAATCTTAGAGTAGCATAGGCACTCATTTTATAAACACTGCACTTTTCCTATACCTTAGTATATTTAAATACAGCATTTAAAATTTCATTGTCTGGTTAAATATCAAACAGAATTTCAAATTACGTTTATTGTAAACAACTCCATGAGAGATTGGTAAGTTGTTGATCAACCGTCAAATTCTACATGATGAAGTTTTGATTTCTTTCTCAGTAGAAGTACTGTACTTTGTTGTCAGTAAAGGTAAACAGAAGTCCTCAAGGACAATCAAGAACAAACTGTGGACAAAACATACATGTAATCCATACAGTATCTGCATGCCCCTGATAAAACAAAGGAGGATTTTAGTCTTAAATCTAATCTGAAACAAATGACACTAAATAAAACATAAAAAAGAGACATTGAAAGAAAATTATTTCTAGTCTGGTTTCCAAACACAGACATTATTAATATGGGATTAAATTTTAACATAGCAATCCATGCAACAAATTATAAAAATGGACCACTATAATTTTCTTGTAGTTCTGATGTAGAGTTGACAATTTTAAATCCTAATGAGATCTGCATTGAACTCACACACTTCATTCATGCATTCATTTTGTTCTTGCTGTTGCTGCTATAGCAGTACACATACAAAAATTCAAAGTAGACAGTATCTATAGTCATACTACAATATTTACGTGTTAGAACACTTTCAATTTGAATACATAACTGCTGTTTAAAATACAAACTAGACATTCTGAAATTACTGGATGAAGGCATAACTTGTCACGTTTAAGATAAGTGGAATGAACTGTACCTGATGCACTTTCTTTAAGTTCTGTACACAGTTTCCATTTGAAGTCAAAATAAGACATCAGGAGAGATTACATTACAACACAAATTTCACTAAGAACATAATGAGGAAGGAACAAAAAGGTGAAAGTAAGTTTTATATTCACTTCTATCTAGGCCCCCATACACCCTTGGATGTAACACACATATATACTAGTATATGCACCATCCATAAAAACATGATTCCTCTTGCTAACCTGCTTAACATGTCAGAAATTTATAACCTACACACCACTTCTTATCCCATGAACACACTTACTCATCTTATAAAATCTAATGTAAGTTGATTACCTCAAAAATTAGTTATTACTAAATGAAAACAATAATATTCAATCATGAATGCAAATTTATTACATGAAATATAATATGAAGAACTAAAAGAACAGGATGTTTGGGTAACAAATATTCAGCAGCTGTTTTCTTGTTGTCTTGTCAGAAAATTTTCAATGTCACATTTCACTGTGAACTAAACTGAAACACAGATGTGAAGTAGAAAAATCTTAAATGAGCTACAATTTATTTTCAAATGTAAATACTTTCATAACCGGTAAAACAAAAGCATGAAAATTTACACAGGTCTAAATATCAAAATGATGTATTGCAAAATCCTTTCTTACCTCCCATATATTTTACTATCTTTACCAACAATCAACCATATGATTGTTACTCATAAAAGGTAACGAATCTCCACCTTTTGACACCAATTTTGAATTCTGGTACCAACTTACATCAGGTGCAGAATAATCACATTCCTATACACAGCTGCAGTGGAAACAACAGCCTAATGGGGACAAACGCCAAAAAGGTCTACAAACAGATCCCAATCCAAGGGTTCATTGTGGATATTCTGTGACTGGTGGGTACAAATAGCCAGCATCAAACCTGCCATCCACAGGATATAGCAACAGTACTGTTTGGGTGAACTCGATACCATTTCCATCCCTGGAGGCACAGAATATCGGCACAATCAGGGGGACATGCAGTCATCTGACATTGTTAGCCTCCTCAGTCCACAATACCCTTTCTCCCAACACTGTAGCCTCAACGTTATATCTGTCCCCAGTTGTTCTTGGGTCTACTGTGTATCTCTCCAGGAACACCCTGCCTTCTAAAGAGTACCTCTCTGCCATATTTCCAGTATCAATAGGACGTCTTTCATTGGGAGCCCTAGCTTCAATGGAATGTCTTATTCCAACAGGGTATCTAGAATCTATGGGGAATATATCTCCTCTCCCCCCCATGTTTCTACCATCCACATGCTGCAATACTCCAGCAATCCTCGAATCTACAGGAAAACTTATAGAATCAACAGAACAACTTTCTATTGCAGTTCTAGATCCATCGTCTCTAGCCCTAGAATCAATAAGATGCCTATCTTGAATAGTTCTAGAATCAACAGAGTATCTTTCTGTTACAGTCCTAGGATCTATTATAAAGGATCTAGAATCAACAGGGTAACTTTCTGTGACAGCTCTGTGATCCATGAACTGCCTCTCATCTACACATCTAGCGTCACTATGAATCCTCTCTGCAATACTGACTGCTTCAATGCCATACTTTTCTGGAACAGTCACTCCTTTATCAGCTGGGGGTCTCCTCACCATGAGCCTATTATCCACTATATTTTGAAAGGGCAGCTGCTGTTCAGCAAGGGCTCTAGCCCCCAAAGAGAACCTCTCCCCCATAATGCCATTCTCAATAGCATGAATTCTCCTGCCAAGAGGATGCACTCTGGAATCAATCACATGAATGTCCCCCAGTGTCCGGGTTTCAATAGGGTTTGTACCCATTGGGTGCCTTTCAACTGCACCTCTTGGTTCACTGTGTGTCACATTACAAGTACTTTCTGCTTTGAAGGCTTTATTGTCCCAGTGGGCACTACCCATCAGAGATATGTGATTCTGACCCACCACTGGAATATTTGAGCTGGCAGGAGTGAGATGAACGTTCTTACCATCTGCTGTCACCTGTCCGTTGCTTGAAATGAACCTAGATGTCGTGCTGGACATGGATGCAGCTGCCCCTTGTGGATCTGCAGCGGACTCATCACCCGTGGCTGCGGATGTTCTGATCGAATTACTGCTGTCATTATTACTAGCCCCGATCCCACTACTAACACCACTACAATGATAAGCGCCTAGATCTGGCCTTTGTCATTTGCTGTTTGCTTGAAGTGCTGCATTGATTTGTGCCCAAAGATCCTTTTTGCATGACTTGGACCTAAAAACAAGTGTGCATATATACAGAACTAAATTATGCAATAAATTTCCAAATAAAGTTAGGGAAGTAGAAAAAAATGAAACAGTTTAAAAAAGAACTGAGATCCTGCCTATTATAACATACATTTTATTTTCATAAACATACTATGCATGTCACATTAAATTAGGACAATATGGTATTTGAGTTACCGTATTTACGCATGTATAGGCCGCAGCACAATTTTCAGACAGAAATTACAGAAAAAATAATTTTCTGCCCCTGTTTCCTCGATCTTTGAACACCCTGTATTACTAATTATGAATATAATTTTTTTTAAATGAAGTGTGATTTCGAATATTTCGAATATAAGACGCACCCCAGTTTTCCTCTTGAATTTTTGGCAAAAAATGTGTGGCCTATACATGCGTAAATATGGTAGTTTGTTTTTATGAAGCATATCTGTATATTGTGACATGACAGTTGAAAGCTGGAATAGTAGGACAAGAAGAGATGGCCACTGATAGGCAATGGCATGGCAAACGTGTTTCAATGGCTATGAATACACATGCAAGAACAGAAGAAATGTTGGGGGTGGTGATTTCTATGTGGCCTGCATTGAGGTTATGTAACAAGGGCCAATGGTGGTTAGTACTCAGATACTACACACCCACAGTCGTGAGACAGTCCTGCAGACTTGCAACCAAGAGTGACTACGCCTGTGAGGGTCAGTAACAGTTTACCCAACCAACCAACCAACTGATCAGTAGTCAGTTGAGTGAGCAGTCACAGCTGGTGGTTGGCTGTGAGAAGAATATCCATTGTTAGAAACAACTAGTGAGAACGTAACAAAGCGAGAAGACTCAGTGAGTGCTATAGTGATGTGTAGAGTGTGTGGATTAGTGAACAGACTGAAGAGAGTAGGTGTCTCTGACCCCTCATGCGACGTAAATGGATCCAGTTTCTGAAACCTGTTCTTCTGTGCTTCTTAGAATATTAGATTATGGATTAAGTTATAAAAAAAGAGTAATTCTGAGTTTATTTTTTGCAGTTCTGTACATTTTAGTATTATGTTAATTATTAATGGTTGTTCTTGTTTTTATGACTTCACACCCCATCCATTTATTTGATTTCTAAATTTTTATAAAAAGTAAAAGAAATAAGTCAGCATAGGGGTTTTGGCTTGGGATTAATTACTTGGCAGTGGACGGTTATTCCAAACTCTAACGCTGACTCTAATAGGCCACACACCAACTTGCCAGGGATCATGTGTGGTCCGGGCCTGTGAGCACATACCTGCGAATAGACTGCAGCCACTCTTTAAACTGGGTGTTTCCCTCGGGAGTGATCTGAAATGCTGCTCGTGCAGAGCAGACAATGTTCACAAACTCTTCATAATCAGCTGTGGTTAGATGGTACAGCTTCTGGTGCATACACTGGATGTACCTGTAGAGACATAGTGACAATAGTAACAAGTTCTGGGAAGAACTTACATACCTACTTTCGCTTCCTTCAAATATTTTAATCTATACTGTGAGGCTATGATAAAATATATATAAAAATATGTCAACTATAAATACTGTATACAAGGAGAAGGTCGTGCTTCGAACCTAGGGTAAGCATAATGAAAATAATGGGCTCTAGATCACATGAATGGATTTAATGGATATTCACCAGTCGTAACTAAAATTAGTTCTTACATTCACAAGATTACCATAACTATTATACAAGAAATAACATCTTCACTATCTGTTAACACTCCAACTATTCAGCTGCCTTCTGAATTCTCGTTGAAACTCTCAACTCAACTATCCTGCAATTCCTGTGACTAAGTCTTCATAGGCCATCTACTAATTCTTCTTCAACTATGAACCCCCTGTGGCTAAGTCCTACTGACAACTCACTCTGGTTCAATTTTCACCTGAACTTTGAACTACACTGAATCTTACATCCTCTCGGCACAGATCACACACAGAAACATAGCACTGTACTGTTGCGTGGAGCAGACCACATAGAAAACACAGCTTCCTATATTGCTGTGTGGTGGAATGTGTTTACTGAGCTGTTGCCTAGCAATGCTTTGATCAAATCCATTACAATACGATTGCCTTCCTTGTCAATATCACAATATATAGTAGCTAAAATTATAAAACAGGAACAACACTCAAAATAAGAAATTAAGTTTATAAATATAATTAAAACAGAGAAGACTGGGAACAAGGATTAAAATCCATTTATCACCCGAAGTTGCATATACCTGTTTGTGGGCAATATTGCACATGGTTAGCATTTCAATGGGTGACTTCTCGTGAAAACATGTGCCACTGCCTTGTGATTTCTGAGCCAGAATAGCTCAGCAAATGAAGTGACTAAGCTATGGGCTGGACAGCTGGGAGGGGCAGAGAAGCTTCCCTTCTCCACTGCAACCAGGCTGGCTCTGGGGCCCATCCTGCGCCCTCTCCACTGGGCACTGGTGGGCAGAGCATGAAGTTCACCATTCACCTCCACTGAGTGATGAAGTCAAGACTGTGTGGAGGTATACCTCCTCTCCTTCACGTATCTTAAGGCCATGGTGCTTAATTAAGAACAAGGTTAACTTTAGCCTCACATTTCCTTTCTTCCATTGTCCTTCTGTTCTGTGGGTGATTTTACAATGCAGCAAGCAACTAGACTATATTCTGTCAGGTTTTATAATAAATGAATGAAAAAATGGATAGGATTTAAGAGGAAGAGGTCCATGGCCTACTTGAGGTATTATCCTGGAATTTTCTTGCAGGGACTGAGGTAAACCACAAGAAAACTGTTATGACAGTCAGTGTTCTAGACAAGATCTGACCTGAGCACCTTCTGAATATATATCTATAGTGCTACTGCTATGCTAACTCACTCAGCATGCCTGCCTTTCCAAATACACTACTATAATACTTGTACATTGCTTTAGCAGACATGGCCAAGAAATGTAGTGGCATATCGCTGAGCATCCCCTATTAGGTTTGTGGTAGGAAATAGGAAACAAGATAGTACCACTTTTATATACAACAGATGATATAAGATGGGACAGAAAGAAATTAACTTACATTTGCTGGCACTTCTGCACGAGGGGAGTGAGGGCTGAGCGCAAATGTTGCATGATGAGGCCTGGATTGTTCCGAGAGAGATAATGTGCTGCTTCCAACGCTACATCATGCAGAACAAATGGGCTGACTATGCTGTTTAGCGCACACACACAGAACTGGTGTAGATACTGTGTTCCTGCAAACACACATTAGAAAATGATCACAGCCACATTTTGCACCACCTTGCGAAGCAATACAGTGAACCTCCACATTACTAAACTCAAGGAGTCATAAATCTATTACAGTTGTAGGAGCCACCAATATCAAATCAAGCACTGGCTCATTGGGGTGGACTACGGTGGCTCCAAAGCTCACTGGTATGTGTGCCATTGGCGACAATGTGTAAAGATGTGGACCTCTGATATGATAGTCGCCAATCGCAGTCTAGGAACCATCTGCTGCTACACCACAGCTCAGTAATCAGGTTTCCATAGAAACAGATTGGCACAACAGATTAATGGAACTGTAGAAGCCAAGGATTCCTTTCCGGTAAGCACGTAAGTTACATTGCATGGACCAACAGGAGGCCAAGAGATACAATTAGAAGGCAGTACAGAAGCGGAGGAATTTCCATTGTCCAAAATGCTACTAAGCAACAAGTAACAAAGCTTGTCGGCATATTCATTCTAGTAACAATAAATATTTGTTATAGAAGTTTACTATGTGGTTGTCTCTTCAATCATTGATAATCCGAGTCATCCTGTTAATTGACAACCGGACAAACTGAAACTCTCACAATATGTTCAGACACCCAAACGAATGTTGTTGTGCGGTCAATTGACAATCAGCAATACACATGCACTCTGGCAATATCTGTAAGCTCAGTAAAATCACCCAACCATTCTGACAGTATGGCAATGCTGACTGTTTTAATCACACTTTGCAATATCAGAATAAAACGGGTGCTTTGTTGAATGAGGATTATTCACAGAGTATAAAAACTGAATGGCTGTTCTTCATTCCATGAGCCCCAAACAGCACTTTTATTTTAAACTAACTTCCCCACTCTGTAATCAGCAAAGTGCCTGGTCAGAGATGAAGGCCCAGATGTAATGCCTGTGAACTTCTACTGTGCTATATGGCATCATGACCCAGAAGATGCACTCTTCGAACTTTCAATGATTCCAAATACAATTTTTAAAAATTCACATATTTATTATCAAAAATCTTCATATCATCACTGTATCTCCTTTAATGTAATACAAAAAGCTGGAAAACAAGTTCTGTAATGAAACTTACCAAGTTTTTTAGCTACCCGGAGAAGCCATTTGACGTCTTCTCCATATGGTGGGTTGCGTGCATACTTGGCTTGTGGCCGGTCATCATGAACTCTTCTGGCCAAGGTTTCCAGGGCCAACATACCTACCCTGTATGCTGCCAACAGGTATCGCATCTGCGTCTGGTTGAACTGCTGGGGTTGCTGCCTGTGTACCTGAGAAATGAGGGTTCAGCTTTAAAACCATACAACAAAACTCCGTGGCCTGTAGTCTGCAAGCAAACTATACTGACCGAGAGACCACAGCTTGTCGGTAAAGTTAGTGCCAACTTTAGCGGACAGAGGGGGTTGCGTGGTCAGCGCAATGGATCCCCACAGCCGTTAATTTCGGTTTTCTAGACCGGAGCTGCTATTTCCTTGAAATAACTCCTCAATTATCCTCATGAGGCTGAGTGGACCCCATTCCAGACCCACTTCTTCTCAGAAAATCTAGTAGCACTGGGAATCGAACCCGGGACCTCTGGAACTGTAGCCAGGAACTCTGATCACTAGACCATAAAGGTGGTGACCAAACAATTTGATGTGAGCGGAGCTGGATGAACAAGAGTGGGAAGCAGTTATCTTGAAGATGGAAATAGAAGAGTCCTCTGGAATGCTGGTAAATTTCTGCAACATTACATGGGATCACACCCCAGGTAATCTTCAAGAGCAGAAATATAATATTTGGTACATGGTACTGATGTTCAATTACTGTGGATAAAGTTCTACTTCTGCAAAGTTAACTGCATTAAAGGTTGGAATAAGTAAATATTTTGAACAGAAGTTGTAATCTTATTACATTAATAATTTTTAATTAAAAACATAGTAAGTCATTTTTGAGAATGCTGTACTTAAGTACACTGTTGCATTACGAGTAGTATTACAGTTCTTTATATATATATATATTATGGTCTTACATGCAAAACTTACTTCCTGCCTCAGGGTCAGAGAAGCAGCCACTGCTAGGCAATACTAGATCTCACTCATTCATGGAGCTGAGCTCTCCTTGAGAAGGTGCCAATTCTTCAGCTACTCAAAAACTTCCCAGCATTTTATGAAACCCAAAGGTTCATTCCTGTGTTTACAAGAGCCCTCCACTGGTCCATATTCTGAGCCAGATCAATCCAGTCTATTCCATCCTATCCTATCTCTCTAAGATCCATTTAACACTTTGCGGACTGGAGATTTAAATATTTAAACCACCCTGGGGACCGGCATTTTTAAACCTACTACCCTAACTTGTGCACTGTTCATTTTAAAAATTAATTTAAAGTCTCCTAATTAATTTTATGAACTAAAATTTTTGGAGAACACTTACCAATTCTCCTAGAAGGGCTTGAGAGTGTGATATTTCTGGAAACATTCCCCTTTGTGAAGTGGCATTACACAGAGCTTGCAAATGTAGACAGTCATACTCCTTTTTTTGTGAACGGTGCAAACACGGCATTGCCTAGAAGGATGCTTCCTCTTGGAATGTTCACTCTTCACAATTTTCACGAGGGTATGTTTCCGTATATCACCTGAGAGTCGCCCAGGGGGGTCCACATGAGGCCTGCATGGGGTGGGAGTTGATGGGTCCATTCGCACTAAGTCTGTGTCTGACTCTGGTTCTGCCGCCACCGTGTGGTCTGTAGCCCAGGCCTTTGCCACATTCATCAGAAATGCTTTGTATTTCAATTTTGATTCAGGGTTGAGATTTTTTGTAAACCAAAAATGAATTGAAAATGGCAAAATTTATAAGCCACAAGGCAACTTTCTTTGTCCACTTTATTGTTTTCCTAGGAAGAAAATAATAGGCCAAGTACTGATCAGCTCTATCAACTCCCTTCATGAACACATTATACTCGGAAATACAAACAGGGTTCTTTACCTGTCTATGTCTCCTTTGAACATCAACCATGCTCGAATTGTGAATTGTGGAAATCATATTCACAGCACGAGTATCCCTCCAGGACTGAAGAAGAATATCCCCCCTTCCTCCTGAATGTGGTTTGACCATGTTTCAGGGATTTACATTCCTCTTTCAAATCTGGAGGAAGGCCTCTGTTCACCCTAACTGTTCCACAAACACGTACTTTTCTCGAAAGTAGGTGTTCTGTCGTTGCCACACTGTTATAATAATTGTCTTGATAGACATGGTAATTTTGATTAAGATAGGGTTCCAAAATGAAAGAATAGTTTCTTGTAATTTCTTTCCTTCACCAGAATAAATTTCTACATTTCCTATATAGCCTGAAGTGCCTTCAGTAACTACACGAACAAATAGGCCATACTTTCTTGTTCTCCGAGAGATCGCTTGGTCTTCAACCACTTTCATCCTTGATCCATATAGCACTACTAACTTACTGCCTGGTACATACAGCTTGAAGACGAACAAAGGCACTTTCCTTTGGAGTGCGATATGAAAACAGCGAGGTCATGTTACTGACTACTAAGCAAACATTCGGGAGGTCTATTACGCACCAGTTATGCATCTGCATGGTGCCAGAGCAAGGTATAGTGTTTTGCAACATAACGTGTCCTAAAATAATAATACTGTCATGTGTCAGTGGTCCGCCATGTTTAAAAGCAAAAAGCATAATATTATGCGACCAGTCCGCAAAGTGTTAATATTGTTCACCCATCTATGTCTTGGTGTTCCCAGTGATCTCTTTCCTTCTGTCTTTCCCACCAATATCCTATACACATTCCTCTTCTCCCCTGTTCATGGTACATGCCCTGCCCATCTCATCCTCCTTGACTTGATAACCCCAACTATACTTGGAGAAGAGTACAAGTTATGAAGCTCCTCATTATGCAGTTTTCTCCAACCTCCTTCTCTAATCATCATCATCAATACTAGATCCACCTGACAAATTCAAGTGTAAATTCCAGTAAACAAATTTTATTCAAATGCATCAAGCAGTTCAGTCAACAGCGCTCATGCCACAGCCAGCAGGCATACCTGCAGAGTGCCACCCTGCTGGATGGTGGTGGCGGCAATCGGATACACATGGTGGTGTGGAGGTGGAGCTCCATTTGCATTAGCCACAACTGCTGCAGCTCTCATTCCAACGGCCGCAGAAGTGGTTGGGGCAAGCGTTACAGCTGTTCCATAATACTGCAGATTTGGTGGCAAGCCTGGAGCGCCTGCATTGGGAGGGAGGTTAGCATATGCTGCCTGCTGATTGGAAGCATGTGGCGGATACTGGAATGCAGGTGGAGAGAGATACATCTGTAGATGGGGTGGGGGTGGAAGTGTTACTGTGCAGGGATGATGATTTAGTGGACTCCCAAAATGCGGATGGTGATGGGGGTGAGGATGCAGACCCTGGACTGCAAAGCTGTATGGACTGACGGTGTATGGGACGCTCATACCAACACCGAGCGGTGCCAATGTCGTGACTGTGGGATGCTGTGGGTATGTCGGAGGAGGTGTGGTCGTCACAACCACAGACTGGGCAGTTGGCGTGCCTGCAAGGTTGCCCTGCAAAATGCCTGTGCTGGAAGGAACCAGGCCTGTGGGTAGCTGTTGAGCCATATCTATGGATGGTGGTGTTGATTCCACCATAGCAACAAGAGCTCCACTGTTTGTATCTAAAGTTATGGCTTCGTGAGGCATGTCGTTTTCCATAGGCTGTTCTCCACCGCCAGGCGTGTGCTTTAACAAAAATTTGATCACATATATATAAAACAGCCAGCAAAGGACACAAGAACAAAACTAGAGCAACTTTCATTGTTAGGAGCTGCCACCTAGTAATGACTACTGAAGGCATAACAGGCTGAGAAGACTGTGTGTTATAGTGAATTGTTGAGTTCTCAAATCAGTGAAAGTGCTATAATTATTTGTAGTTATGAGCTGTAAGTGTGCAACAGATTTAATTATCACCCCCCCCCCAAACCCCCATGTCTAGACATTAGTACATGACAAAATGAACCACACATGCCAAACTCTGGGGGGGGGGAAGGGAATCTGCAATTACAATACAACATGTGTGGGTTCAGCAGGCATAACAACCATAGTGTCACATCGTCAGTATAAATTCCATTATCTGAGACAATAAAGATTAATCTTTTAACACAGCACATGAACACTTTTTTTTGGGACTGAAATAAGTATAGAAATAGTAAACTACAAAATCATGAAATAGAAAATAATAACTCTGTTAATTATAATTTAAATCAACAGGAAATATTTCTGTTAATTATTGAAGTATGATTTAACGACAGTTAACGATCTTGAAACTTAAGGAATCTGGCAATATTTTATTCTATAAATAATTATAATCTGAGTACAAAGATTTCTTTAATTTTATTATTCTCCTTTCAAATGCAAGAACCAAAGCGACAATAAGCTGCCTTCTCATCATGAATCTTTTATGGGAAAGGTAAGGCATACTGACATTTCATTTATAACAGTTTCACACACACACTCACGCGCACGCATGCGCGCACACGCACACACACACACCATCCAAGAACTTGTGCTTGTGCCTGAAAGAAGAAGTCAAGAAAATGGAAGAGGGCTGGACTATTTATAGTAGCAAATGGATGGATAGCAATGTCTCTGTCTTCATTTCACTACCATCTGTCCTGAAATCTTGAGCACTTACTGATATGTTCAGAAAGAGCGAAGTAATTTGTGATCTACTGTGAAACACATTAGAGCACCTATACATTATGTCGAGCCAGGACAGCGCAGTTGGTACAGCAACTGGCTACGGGCTTGACAGCTGAGGGGTGGGAGTTTGAGTCCTGGTGGGGGCAAGATATCCCTCCTCTCCACGTCATCCAGCCTCCTATCCAATGGGTACTAGGAGCTCTTTCTCTGGGGGTAAAGTGGCCAGGGCATGAAACTGACTTCTCACCTCCAACTAATGGTGGGGTTAAGAATATGTGGATTTATATATCCACTCCCCCATATGTCTTCATGGTGCAGTGCTTAATTAGTTAAGCATAGGGACACCTTTACCTTTTTGCCTTTTGCATGCACGCACACAGACAGACAGAGAGAGAGAGTGTTGAAGGTGCAAAATGCAGATAAACTACACAGAGTTTTTACATGATACCCTTAGAACAGTATTCTTCAGACTAGTTCAGGTATCAAAAATGTGTTTCTGTACATCAGCCATAGTATATCAGTGACAACTTACCGTCATGTATAGCTCATACCAGTACTTTGCCACTTGAAACAACACTTCAGGGTAAACACCACCTCCCTTTGCTGCATGTTCCACAGTGAGGCACGAATGTTCCAGCATGAGATCACTCTGCTCCTTGCACTGTAACCAACAGCAAGATGTAAACCCTGACATTTACATGGCAATAAAGATTCATGTAGTGGTCTTACAGGATTACAAATAAAAGTCTGTCAGGTGGGAATTAACATATCAGAGGAGTTCCAAAGACAGTAAAAAACCAACCACAAGAAAAAAAAATAAGTTTGGGAAGACCTCCAGAATAATGGAAAGGTTCTGTCTTGTAATATCTTAACAGGTTTCGATATGTTTAACACTGGAAAAGACAACGAAGATTATACTGTCTCCATCTTCGTTGTTTAAGTAATGAAGGAGGTCACATTTTCCTCAAAAACGCTGGTACTCACCTGCCAGACTACATCATGGTGTCATGACTCGGAAGACCACAAACAGAATGAAGCAGGTACATGATCTTTTACTACATTCATTTAACAAATATTCCAGCTGAGAGACTAGCACTCCACTTTCGTACTTGAGAGGTCTTGAGTGTGGACCTTTTTCGTGATATTGGTTAACTTCACTTAGGAGTTCTGTGATTTTCTTCAGTTTCTACATGCAAACATAGGGCACATTGCCTTCCACATCCTTCCAGTGCAGGTACAATCATTTTGATGCGGCCTCCGTAGTCTAGGGGTAACGTTCCCACCTCATGACTCAAGGTATGCGGGTTCAAAAACCCGGCGGAGGTCGTGGAATTTTTAAGGGCGGAAAAATTCAGGGAACAAGTCCTCCGGGAGGGACTTTAAGCTGTGGGTCCCGTGTCGTAGATTTACGGCATGTAAAACAACCTCATGTCTCTAGGAGACCTCTGAGCAAAATTAGGCCAAGTTTCCCGCCTAATTAGTTTCCAATTCCTCCGGTAGATGGGGGAAGTATCAGGTACCACTGCCAGAGGAGGGAGGACCTCTCTGACAGAAAGGGACTAAAGTATTAGATACCACTGTCAAGTAGAGGGTAGAAACCTTGCTGGCAGAAAGAGACTAGGGACCCCTGCCAGAGGAGGGACGACCTCGCTGACAGAAAGGGACTAACTATTAGATACCACTGCCAGTAAGAGGCTGGAACCTCGCTGGCAGAAAGGGGCTGATAGTAAGCACCAGTACCGGTAGGGTATGGAGACAGTAGAAATTAAAGGGGGATGCACAATGGACCAGTAATCGGTCTAAGTGCATGGGGAAACCCACCCCTTCAATACGGAATACGGAAGACTCATGCAGCTGGATCAAAAGTCACTTATGTGTGTGTTCTGGGAACCTCTTGCTTAGACCCAGACGTTCTCCTCTGCACCCTGTTCTTGAACAGATTATGTTCAGGCAGAAAAACATTACCTGCAAGATAGCCCTCTGGATTTCATTCGGGTTGAGAGCATGAGAATGAGGTAGACACGAGAGCGCCAGTTCTGCTGCAGCTCGAACAATATTAAGGTCACAGCCCCGAGAAGCCCTGTCGGCAATGCTGACTGCTTCAGGAGGAGTCAGATGCCCTTCCCAGGTGTCGATGAGGAAGGAGATGGCCGGAGCCCCTATCTCCATTGCCTGGCCTGCAGTAACATAATCATAACCATAACAAAATGATACCGAGTATGGAAATAAGTTGGTGTATTTTGTTTGAAGGAGTTCAATTACTTTGTCTTTTAAATCATTCACTGATTCTTCTGGGTGTTATGATTTATTTTTATTTTCTTTACTGTAAGTGTCTGGATAGCCTGGAAAGCTCAGTCTGTATAGCAACTGGTCACGAGTTGGATGACCAAAGGGTCATAGTTTGAGTTCTGATGGGGGCAAAAATTTTCATTTCCCAATATCATCCAGACTGGCTCTGGCAACTCTGACCACAGTTCTAACTTCTCTGTGCTTTTCCTCAAGACAAATGCTACAATGGTGCCTTCAGTTGGACCAATACAGTTTCTCAGGACACACTTCCCAGTTCACTACCCAAAAATCATACTATGGGAGTCAGCATAGCTCAGTTGGTACAGTGACAGGCTACAGGCTGGATGATCAAGATCTGATTCCCAGTAGGGATAAGATTTCTCTCCTTTCCACAAAGTCCAAACAGGCTCTGGGGCCCGCCCACCCATCCTCCTATCCAATGAACACTGGGCGGCAACTCCCATGGGAGTAAAGCAGCTGGGATGTGAAGCTAATCACTCGCCTCCATGTAAGTGCTGAGATCAAGAATACTGGATCTATACCTCCACTCCCTTGTACATCTTCATGGCACAGCGCTTAATTAAGCACAGGGACAACTTTACTCCTTTTTCCCCAGTAATCACACTATCAACTGATACTGTTTAGTAATAGAAAGAGTCATCAAACAAACAAACGCATCGTTACCTGTGATCCAGGACACATGAGAGGAGTATGTGCGGCTCAGCCAGTTGGGGCTGACACAGTTGTGCAGACCGAGAGCGTACAGTCCGATCTGGAAGGCACAGATGTGGAGTGCACGGTGAGGACCATGGTGGTTCTGCGATGTTGATGCTTGAGTGAACAATGATGTGCTGCTATTTCCCCCAGCCTTTGTCAGCACCGTTTTCGCTAGCTCAAACATGAAATGTGCACCTGCTTCTGAAGGTTGGTTTGGTATCGATGGATATGCTCGTTTTCCTTTAAATCTGTAGACAATGAATTATACGGAAATCAAGCCTGAAGAAGTATTAGTTACTATAGGATTCTGACAATGGTGTATAACACATAGAGATATTGGGTTTTCGGACTTTATCCATTGTCCTGGTTTTAAGATAACTAAGAAAAACACGACATTTTGGAAACTCGATCTGTGGGAAAACACCTGTTCTGGTGGGTCCCTGCCTCAATCACTGGATAACCGATGTCCAAAAACACAAAGGTTATAAACACCTGAGACCAGGCTAAGTCCACGAGATCCATGAGGACGGAAACAAATCCAGTTTCCGAAACGTCGCATTTTTCTTAGTTATCTTAAAACCAGGATGATGGATAAAGTCAGAAAACCCAATATCTCTATCTGAAGAAGCATGTTTCTCCAAAACATTGGCAAACTTCTACCAGACTACATGGCTTCACATCTCAGGAGACAGTACCCTTTGTAGACACTACCATGAATACAAAAATTCTGAAATTAAATCTGAAAAAGGACAAAACTTAGGACCTTCTGAATGACAGTCATTATCTGGGACTGAACTCAGATGCTCTACGTGTAAATCCCACCTATATAAGTGGAAATTTATGTGCATTTTTCATCACCATTTAACCATCTTACACACTTAAGAACCATGAGGAATAAAGTAAAAATATTCATAGAAATAATTAATCCCCTTTCACTGGAATAAAAAGGAACAGAGGGGAAAAGACGGAGCCGGAATAGCTTCGTTAGTACAGAGTGTAGGCTACAAGTTACTTCATAATGGAATAACATTCCATTCCCAGCAAGAGGAAGAGCCTCTTCTCCAGTGTCCAGACCGGTTCCGAGGCCCACCCATCATCCTATCCAATGGGTACTGCGGACTCTTTTCACCAAGTCTAAAGTGGCAGGGTTATGAAACCAACCACTCACCTCCATCTATTGCAAAGGTTACGAATGCATACTAACTTCATATGTCCCTTTCCTTAATGTTTCCTGACCACAATTATGAATGAATTTTCATTTATCTGATGCATGCTACCTATCCTATCCCACTTGATTTATAAAACTAATAATACCTGCTGAACAGTATAATTATTAATGTTCCTTAATATGTAATTTTCTACATCCCCCTCTCGGGCCTACTGTCTCTCTCCTTGATACAAATATTAATCCTACCCGTCTCTCCTCAAATATCCTATAGTTTTTATTGCTTCCTCTTGAGTACAATTTAATGTTTATGTTCAGAGTAGAATGAAAACAGAAATTTATATATCAGGATCACATATTTACAGAAATCACTGAAGAAGAGGTGAAACAATAATTCTATACCTACTGGCAATTTAGTAAAGATCAATGTTAATAATGAAATTTGAATGTTGAAGAATCTTCAATACATGAACACAATGCAAGTTCCGGTACTTGTTCTGGGAATTAAGCAATTTGAACAGGTCGTATTCTGATGAACGCTGCAATATAAATTTTCCATACTCGTTTTACATCAACTGCAAAGCTATACCTCCACTCCATATATCAGAGGATGGTACTTAGCTAGGGATAACTTTAATTTTTAAGAAGGAAACATAAAAATGGAGCTCAGGGAAATAGGGTCTGGTTTTGCAACAGTGACTGTATCACCTGGCAGGCTTTGGTATTAGTAGTATTGAACCTTCAGGTTCAACAGTCAGACAGGGAATTAGTTGGTTGGCTGGTCAGTTACAGAAATATAGGCTGTACCTAGATGCCTCTTTGGTGCGAGTGGACGTCACTTGTTGCACAGTACTGGGGGCCCCTGTGGTGGCTGCAGCTGCTGGACTACTGAGGGACAGGGTGGCCAACCCCTGCTCCACCTCAGCACTGGTTGAGCTATGTGGACGGCTACTCGGACCTGCTGCTAAACAACAAACATATGACTTACACTAACCTCCAATTTATTACATTCATTCATCTGTAATCTGTCAAGACGACAGGTCCACAGTCTCTTCCAAAACAATTCCTCCAATTGATGCGATCTAGAGCTTTCTCCTTCAAATGAAAATATCCTCTTCTGTCCCCAAGGTCATCCAGCATCTTCTTATGTCTTCTTCCTCATCTTCTGGTCACTTCTATCCGCCCCTCTATCTTTCCTTCAATAACTTCTTTTAGAAGGCAGTTACCGCGTAAGATATGACCAATCCAATTACCCTTCCGTTTTCTTATTTCGTGTAGGATATTCCTCTGCTCACTGACTCTAAGTAACACTCTTCATTTCTCACATAATCGGCCCAACTGATCTTCTCCATCCTTCTCCAACACCACATTTCGAAGCTTTCCAGGCGTTTCTGATCTACTGCCCTAAGTGTCCAAGTTTCAGCCCCATACAAAGCGATGCTCCAAACGTACAATTTCACTAGTTTCTTTCTCAAATTTAAGTCCAATTTGCTGGTAAAAAGATTCTTCTTCTTGCTAAATGCAGCTTTTGCCATGGCAATCCTGGATTTAATTTCACAAGTACACCTTCCATCATCTGTTAACAAGCTACCCAAATATTTAAAACATTTCACATTCTCCACTTGTTTTTGGTCTATCTTTATTGTGACTGGGGTTGGTTGTCTCGAAATTTTCATTACTTTTGTTTTTTCCACATTCATTTCCATGCCATAGCACCTTCCAATTTCGATTAGTCTATCAATCATGCC